AATTATAAAATCAGATAATCACGTATAAATTACCTTGGGTAATAACCAAGATCTGGTTATCACAATTTATTCTTTCTATATTTAAAAGTAAGGATCACAACCATCAACATGACACATTAAGATTGAGTTTTTTGTTAATCTTGAATTGTGATTGACTTTTGTCTATCCCACATTGATAGGTAAATAAAAGATTGACAAAAAATGGTGGATATATAAAGGAAAATTGAGATGTCTCTATGTCAATTCATGAGGTTGACTACTCTTAATTGATTCTCTGAACGCATGCTGCTTACCTTATTTGGTTGACCCTCCTAACATAGGATTTTAGGCCGACCCTCTTTTTGCAAAAAAAAATCTATATTAGAATTTAAATAAATTACATCTATATATATATATATATATATACACACACACATATACATACATATATATAGATATATATTAATATTAATATATATATAAATAAATTCAATAAGATATTGATGTGAAAAATTAGAATTTAATATTTTTAAATCATGAATTATGATTGAATTTGTCTCGAATCTTAACCCATATTAATAAGAAAAGAATTATTCAAAGACAATTAAGTATATTAAAACATGAAAGGATGTCTTAGAATATTCGAATGGTTGATAAATGCACTATGAGAATTTAATAATTTCAAATTTTGAAGTATAGGGATATTGACGTGGCTCAAAAAAATTTGCATGTTACTTGATATATGTTATGATCACTGCGCAATGCGCGGTGCCGAGGAATATAAAAGATCATCAAAATCATAAAGAGATAATGTTGAAGGTTTCTTGTGAATGAAAATACAAATTCTTTTTGCCTTTTTATAGCAATAATAAAATACATATCATGTTTTTCGATATTTTACTTAGATGTTTATTTATTTAGGTTAAGTTTATCAATATAATGAAAATAAGAAAAAAATATAAGAAATACATCTTTTAACTATGTTTTTATTATTAATTTTTTATTGATTATTATTATCTATACTATATTATAAAGCATTTGGCTAAAACTCTTAAAATTCTTAAAAACTCTTAAAACTNTAAATTTTTATGCAAAAGATTTAGAAACCACTCACCTTAAAAGCTTTTGAACACAAAATGCTATGAATCAATCTCTTTTGAAACTCAACTCTTGAAATCAGCTTGAAATCTTCCTCTCTTGATAAACCGGACAACACACTCTAATCTTCTCAAATTCTCTCAAAATTGGCAGGGAAAACCCAAGATAAGGGGGAGTAACCCCTTTTATACTTAGCAAAATGGGGAAGGTCGGCTACCGCCTCCCCCCCCCCTTTTTTTTTGCCACCTCAACCCAAACACATGCATACACCTTACACATATGCACACACTCACATATATATATATATATATGTATATATATATATATATGTATATATATATATATATTATATACATATCCATCATCCAATAAACACACACACACACACATATATATATATTCTCATAAATATATATATATAACCAATTAATTCACAAATTTTCAAACCGGCATGTATCAATTACCATGTTATTACGTAATTATAAAATCAGATAATCACGTATAAATTACCTTGGGTAATAACTAAGATCTGGTTATCACATTTTCCACCCCTCAAAAGAATTCCGTCCCGGAATTCCTTTAATCAAAAAGCCATGGGTACTCTGCTCTCATCTTTGATTCTAGTTCCCATGTTGCTTCTGGTCCTTTGTGGAACTTCCACTGTACTTTAACCAGACTTATCTCTTTGTTTCTCAACACCCTGATCTTTCTGTCAATTACAGCTTCTGGTGTTTCTACAAAGTTCAATTTATTGTCTAATTGAATCTCTGGCATCAGTATAGCTAAACTCGGATCGGCCAAACATTTCCGCAGATTCGACACATGAAAAGTGTTGTGGATCAGACTCAACTCTTCTGGTAGCTCTAACTGATATGCTACTGGCCTAATTCGTTTACATATGCTGAACGGCCCTACATACCTCGGATTGAGCTTTCCTTTCTTCCCAAATCTGATAACACCCTTCCATGGCGAAACTTTTAACATCACAAAATCATCTATATCAAACTCAATCGGCTTTCGACGATTATCTGCATAACTTTTCTKGCGATCTTGTGCAGTTTTAATTCTTTCGCGGATTTGTTCAATCTTATCAGAAGTTTCTTGAACAATTTCAGGACCTGTCAGTTGCTTCTCACCCACTTCATTCCAACATAACGGCGTTCTGCATTTACGTCCATACAACACTTCATATGGTGCCGCTTGAATACTGGAATGATAACTATTATTATATGCAAACTAGATTAATGGCAAGTGATCTTCCCACGATCCCCCTAAATCTATAACACAACTTCTCAACATATCTTTGAGAGTCTGAATAGTTCTTTCATTCTGCCCATCAGTTTGCGGATGATAAGCTATACTTAATCGGATTTCTGACCCCAATGCTTTTTGTAGTCCTCCCCAGAACTTTGAAGTGAAT